ACAATCATTGCAAATTCTATTTTTTTGCATGTTTTAAATTTGCCGGTAGCTTTACGACATATATTTGAGTATTTCTTGATCCCTGTAAATATAGTGTGGATGTTTGTTCAGTTCCTGAACAACCGAAAAATCTTTGACTTTATGGATATATGGATATCAAAAATGCTGAATGGTTTTGTGGGAATATCAATCGACGGTGCTATAATGGTACTGATGAACCGCAAGTAAATGAATGAATGTTTCGAAACGAGCAATATCTATGAAATTTTTCGTAGAGCCTGTCATTAAGTAGGAGCTTAATGGCTATCTGCAAGAGGTTTATAGGAAAAAACATACGGTAGGTGATGTCGAATTAGTAAAATCGCATATCAATCGAAGAAAATAATATAAACGTGAATAAACTATAGACAATATTAAATAAAAACATGAATTTTATTCAAAAATCGAACACTTTAAATTTTGACTAAATAATATGTAATTTCTTAATATTCAATAAGCTGGTGATGTTTCAATGACAAGATGTCATCTCGTACTTTGACAGTATTTTGTTTTCAAGATTTCATAGCTATTGGTTGCTAAAATCTTGATTGGAACTTGAAGCTCATTCGCTGTATTTGACGGACTGTTACCCTATGGGTGGAGAATAACGGACTGCCGTGAAATTCACCCTTGATGACTATGCGACTGAAAGAGTGTGGAGAATTTGTTAATGCTTGTTCGCAAAATATTTCCAATTTTTGTTGTGTTCCTATTATTAATAAATAAATATTATTTATGTTAAAAAGTGGGTATAATGTATTTGAGAACATTTCCTATTTTTATTTATTATAATAATAAAGAAAATGAAGAAAAACAGCGCTTGTTTGAATTAAGTGTTTTAAACATGTTTTAAACAAAAACTATTTCAAACCTAAGTGTATGTTTAAAACATGTTTAAAACAATTGATTAAAATAAAATGTTTAAAACGGGACTCACCTTTGAAATTCGCAGTTCACTGCCACAAGAGCAAAAAAAAGTATTAGCAGCAGCTTCATATTTTATTCTAGACCTACCCGCTGCTTCTTAATAACTAAACTGTTTCTGTTCCGTTACAACAAAAACACCAATGATATGATTAGTAGCCGGTATTTATTTATATCTTTGGCAATTACAGACAAGTAGAACGAAAAGGCACTTGAGTACTCCACGATTGCGGAAACGTTGCCAAGTTGTCATATCTAAATACAGGGTAAGCCTCGTTGTTTCTTGCGGCAGACGATAGTTGTTTTTTTTTCAATATAAGTGAAGAGCGAAGGGGCAGCTCGGCTACATCAATGCTTATCACTTTCTTATAACTGAAGAGCGGTGGAAAGGGTTGGCTGATCGGTCTCGATCCCCTGGATCCGCTCTTGATTGAGAATTTTGCGCCCCCATGGCACACTAAAGGATCCCCCACACCGACGCGGTAAGGCGATAGCGATTATCGCAACGTTCTCCATGCGGTGCCCAGTTTTCAGAGCAGTAAATAATACCGATCACACCAGCGCGGTGGGATGGCCCGCGGTTTATCGCCTTAACAGCGTTTCATTTCAGAAACGCTGCTGACGCGGTTCATATCGCATATCGCCACGTTTTTCACGATGTCCACAATGGAGAATTGAATTGAACAAGTTGAGAAGTACCCAATATGATACGATTTAAGTCTCGAAGGCTAAAAAATTTGCAGGATCTCATTATACTTAAGATATCATAACAATCGGAAGTAATTCGAAAGTATACCTAAAAACATTGTGGACCTCTAAGTAATTCGATTATTAAAGTATGATATTCTCCATATATCTTTCTTAGTTTATTAATATCATGCATCCGTTTCTTCTTTTCCCTTAAACACAATTATTAATTATTATTAACTAGTGATTATCATCAAAATACTTCTCTTTCGCCTTTTTTCTTCTGCTAAGGCCAATAATAATAATAGTTCTTCTTCATCGGAAGACATATTGACTAAGAAATCAAAAAACGTTTGAGAATATCGCGCAGATAAGAAAACTGCCGTACCGCGGTGGTGTGAACGTGCAGGTATCGCGCTAAGTCGGTGTCTGAGGCGACTGCTTCACTTGTTCACTAGGGGTGGGGCGGTTATTGATAAAAACCGATTATAGGTTATCCGGTTATCATATCAATAGCTTTAACTGGCACCGGTTAACCGAACCATATTTAACCGGTTATACCGTTAACCGGAAAATAACCTTTATTTTTGTCCATCAACAATTTAAACTGTCATTGGCCAGGTTTACATCGTGGCTAACCAAGGTCCTAAATTTGAGTCCTAGATAGCGCCTAGCACATAGTGTAAACGTGCACAGAACGGCATTTATGAGCAGACTTGCGATTTACAACTTCTTTGATAAACCAGTCCAAGTTATATAATAATAAAAGTAAACGCGAGAAACGTGAAGTGATCAAGGACATGAAAAACCACACAGTCATACGCCCATATTTACTGAGATTTGTGTAGATAGAAAAAGAAAAATCTTCCTTCCGGTTATTGCAGGTTAGAAGGAAACGGCAGTGCATAGGTGTATAGTGAGGATTTGTGTGCTAATAATCTGTGTTGATAACTAGATTGGTTTCTTGTCTCACACACACTTACTCGAGATGTATTCAAAGCTAGAAATTAGTTGCGCGTCCACTTTTTATAGATACGATCTTGCTACTCAACCTTCTTTCCTTCTTTTTTTTTTATACTCCAACTAACACGAAGGCCTAAGGCCTAAGCACCCATTGGGTACCGTGGGGCTATTCACATCTTCTCAGAGATAAACACTACATATTATTCGGTTTTCTGCAACCAGCAATGCATCTCGTGCCGTTGGGTCATTCCTCCATAGATGGTGCTTTCGATGGCGCTCACAGCGATAATAGCGGGCAAACGAGGAATGGAACTATTTATTTGCACACTAAAAACTACCTAGTCTGCAAAATGATATTTTGTCATTTTTTTTGACGTTTTTAAGGTTTTTTATATAATACCCCTGCGGCCCTGCGTATTGTCGGCATTCCGATTACTGGAGATATAGCCCGACGCACCACTATAAATAAATTAATCCGTTTGAAGCGAACCAACGGATGCAGAGACCTATGAACACGTATTTTTAGAACCTTTCATAATGCAACAGAACCTGATGTCTAACTATATATTTTGAGCACAGCTTTATGCTTTACTTTTTACTGTTCAGAATATTACGGCTTTGTAACGTTTTGGAAACCTGCCAACATTGTTCAGTTCTAATTTTTTCAATTCAATTTTTTCAACGGATATTTTTTCGATCATATCGATTTATTGATAACGTACTACTTGAATGCAAGTATTATAATTATACTAGTACCTTATGTCCCGATTCTCGTAAAGGAAACAGTACTCAATCAGTGAAGATCAAATCAGTCAACGGATAAGATAAAGTAGAATTTATTCATTGTTATACGTCTCGTTATTGCGAAATATCAACTAATAAAACATCCGACTATTTATGATTGATAACTCGGTTCCAGTTTCCACAGCTTATAGCTTGCTTATTATTGAGCAATTGCAGAGTTTGCAAAATCAACCCAATGTTGAAACTCGCAGAAATAAACTAAAATGTGTAAAATGGTCCTATTTGGACCCGTTGGGACTCATATAAAGGAATAAAACTGACAACTTTTGATCCGTAAGATTTTAACTATATTTCAGTATTTGTGTTGTAAATACATATGTTCATAGGCGCTCGTAGGGGAGGGACATGAGGGGCCGATTTTTAGGACTTACCACCCCCTGGGACAATATACAACCCAGCTCTTCAAAAAGTTTTTGTGGCAACCGAACATGAATATGTTCGAATCAAAATCTGTGGGTTTTTTTCATAATTCTTGGGATCTGATATGAATGAATCAAGGGTGATCCATTGACAATCTCACGTTTTTGCTTAATTCTGGGCGGTTCCTTATTTGGAGTTTTTCTAGCTAGGTACTCAACTACAAGGAATGTATTATATTTTTTCGTACGACAGTCCTTTGATCATGCACATAGAGTCCAGCATAACTGGCTAAAATTTAATAGCATGTTTGTGACGATTATGATCAATATGGATTAAGTCCCTTAAAATCTACAATATATCCACAGAGCTTCATCTGAATCACTTTCGTAATTCAGAAGAAACCGATGAATGTATTAAAAGAAATTAACCTTAACAGCCTATACAACGTAGCGAAACCACAAAATTTTACGAGATCTATCAGCTGGTATAGTATAAACCTGAGCAGCCTTATTGGTTAATAAAAAATAGAATTTCAAAAAAATAAATATAATTCAAAATGAAAAAATCGCATAAAATTAACATAAAAACTGTTTAATATACAGTACTTTAAGCTCATTGCACTGAAAAGTCGCAAAAGTCTATCCAGCTTCTTTGTTCTCAGGGGTCTTTGTGCTCGCTTACGTATGAGTATTCCATATTTACGCTTGTTACTGTAATAATGATAAATTGCTTGTCATGGGCGTGTGATTTGCTTTTACCCATGTTGATATCCGTTATAAAACTTAACACTATGCAGATAAATCTATAATGCCGACCGTCTATAATAGAAGCATGTTCAGAAAGTAACTGAAAACAAAGGTTCTCTATGATCTAATTCATGTCTGTGTGTGCAAGAGCGTGTAGCAGCTGCGTTCCGTATCGGCTTGCACAAGGTGCAGTTTGCCTTAGAGAAATTAAGCTACACACATGCCACCATTAGAATATGCTTACTTATTTCCTATAGCATTATAACGTAACCGCCAGAAACCGTGAAAAGAACTATACGCACCACCTATCATGCTGCAAGTTTTGAAAGTTCGTATAGAAAATATTTCCAATATTTTCGATAAACTGATCTTGTCTCGTAAGTTTTGGTTGGATTTATTTTCGTGTTGCGTTTTTATCCAAATATGGCTAAAATGCATACCAATAAGGTAGGTGAGGTGAACAAAACGATTAGGACTACACGACTTATTAATTTTTATTGTTCGGTAGACAAAGACTGGGTATATAATGTTTTGTAATCGTAACATAGAATACATACAATATTTTGATTCAATTGACATACAGTTTACAGTAAGCTCGATAGGAAAGTCAGAAACAGAAAAAAAATGCAAAGCTTCACGTAGTTTTTAGGCTCGCTTTTTAGGTATATGTATTTTGGCCGACGAAAACCGTTGGGTTTTGTGATACCACTCTGGTCTGGAGAAACCAGGTCTGTAAGATGTTTCCTTTCTTTGCTACTTGTTACTAATACATCAACTGCAACAATAAGTCAGTTTCATCTAAATAATGAAACAAGCCTAAATTTCAAGATATGGTCTCCAAGACAAAGTTACATCTCACGTCCGCTTCCATAGTAATAATTCTGTCACACTCAAAAAGCTGGGATGTAACAAAAACATACACAGTGTGTAAATATATAAATCCTATAATAAGCGTATATTGACATTCAGTGATTGTTCATATTCCGAAAATAGCCAAATACGCGGTCTGCCACTTGTTTACATAGAGAAATGTCAAACAATGCCAAGAATAATTTCATAAACATATGAGCAAACCCACTGCAGCTAGCTGATTTAGTGAATATTCGTACTTTTCGATCCACAAAATCAGAAACTCGACTGTTTTTGTTATCAATGAATCATTTGTAAATTGCGGAATTTGAGAGAAGGCTATTCATTGCCTGATATTCACCAGTGCACAATCAACTAATTTTTTGTGAATTCCGCCAAGAGATATCAAACCACACAACTTACCTCATTGATGTTTGTGGGTAACAATATATCAAATTCGATTTCGAGGTGCGATAAATGTAAGAAATATAATAATACGCATCTAATAATATCAGGCATGAGGTGCTGGGCCAGACTGACCAGAACCGTATTCACTGTTTACCAATTGGTAAAAACGTTAATCAATGGTTACACGTAATATTTATCTGTGAAAGACGATAAATGTTGTGCATTTTTGTATGGGACTATAGGTGGTCTGTTTGCGCTGAGCTGATCCAGACCTGTCCTTTTTATTACCAGGAGCGTCTTGTTACGGTCCTTTCTAATCGTCCAATCAGCGCACTGCATCTATAGACTAGCATGATGAAGTTTATTTTGGCTGGTTGCACGTTGAAAATGAATTTTGTATAGTTGTTGTCGGGCTCACTTGCTTTAATTTTGATCCTAGACACACAAGCGTCCAATGTATCGTCACATCTCCAAAAATGTTCGAGAGCTAACATCTAGTGGCTTTACTTAACGATCATTCAGACAAATTTGGTTGATTTAGTCATTTTAAAAACAATTTATTGACTTCCTACTGATGGCAGACCGAGGTATTTGTTGATAGTTTACAAGATATGTATATAATTATATTTTTAGGTGTTTATAAACTTCTGTATATAAAATTAACACAATTATAAAATATATATCTAAAGAATTAATATTTTTATTGTTGAATGTGCGTAAATAAATACTATATTATTTAGTACGTAAAGGTAAATTTGGGTGATACACGGTCTCCTAACTTCCATACTTTCTTGTTGTATTATTTATTTCTATCTGGATTAGAATTACTCTCTTTAGAATAAGCTGATTATGTTCGGTTTCACTGTTGAGAACTGTCTATTATAACTGTATAGATACGCGACGTATTTATTGATTGTATTTTGTAACTTATTTGTACCATTTTAATGTGAACATGTCTTATACTCTTTGATTTTCATAAGCAGTGTCTGATTTTTGAGTACTTTTCATTTGATTTATAATCCTAACATCCTTAATTTCATAGCATATAATCAGATATATGAAATACGCACATGTAAATATTTTTAAGAAGTCATGAGTTGCGGAATTAAGTGTTGTAAAACACAAAAATACAGTTAACTGTGAAAACTGTAAACTTATCACATCACTTTTCACTTTTGCATTAAATGTAGTAGTTTTTCTGAGAATCCCAACTCAATGCACAAGTTACTACTTTTACCGAAGATAACGCTGTATATTTCTGAATCTCCAAGAAATATGCATCTTTATTAGTTTTATTTTCTTCAATATATCAAACAGTTAAGCCGCTAACGGAATTAATTCGTTAGGATTTCAGTATTAATTTGATGTAAAAGTTTTTAAATATCAAATACGATTGCTCTGTTAGGGACTGTGTATCTATTTAGTCGCTTAGCAATAACTGGATGGAGAAGAAATCAGTAACATGATTTTTCAACGTAGTGTTCTTAGGATTTTACGCATTAAATGGTACATATCTATGTACTGAAAATAAGATTTTTTAAGCATCGTTTCATTTACTATCCATTTAGTATGTGAGGTTATTTAACTAAAAGATCTGTTTTTGTTTCGGCCATTTTCTCTTCACGTTTGAGGTGCGAAATTTCTCATTTAAAAAACTCGTAAATCTTATTTTAGTACATATATCTTCCTCGAAGATGTCTGGTTATTTTTGAGTAGTAAAGTACAGAAACCTTCATTTCGAACTTAGATGGAATTTTTCGAGCAGACTATATTTATTTACCTGAAGAGCGAATCGGCCGAAACAAATTCCTTTAGTATATGTATAGGTATGGCTACCTCATTTGCAGATACCTATTGTAAACATCTCATTAAATTCTTAATTTGTTCCGAATGCAAAACGAATTTAATGGTCGTTATTTTTCATGTTTTAGAGTGCTGTTAGTCATTTTGATAGCATACTAACATATTACGTCATATTTTCATGTGACTCCTCACTGGACTGGCAGCCTAAACTGAATAAATATCATTAAAATGATACAATACCGAAGCTTAAGATAAGCCTACCACATAATTCTCCCAGAAATTTTCACTTTTATAGCCAGGTACAAAAGAGCAGCATGACCCACCGTTTACCACTGTGTCTATGTACGCAGATTACGCTACTCTTACATTCTGGTATCTAGCTATACATGAAGTCAAAGGAGGTATCAAGATGCGTCAGTGTCCAAAGTTGAGATTGCTGTTGTCATATGCACAGGAATCATGAATATAAATATACGTTTTAGGTATTACTTTATACTGACACATGAGGCTGGGTCGAGCATTTAACTAAAGATGGTAATAGTAGTAGCAGTGGTATTGAGGAGATGAAGCCTGTCAAGTACGTCATTTTTTCCCTTCTTGTGGAGCCCGAATGTACCAACACTCTGCTAAGTGACTATTCAGTCTAGAGTGGCCGGTGAGAACCCCCATCAGAAGATTGGACGAGTCTCTACTTCTGTCAAGTAGCCAGCACGTCCGACGTTTGTCGGGACCACCTCAAACTTCTTGACTTGAATGCAGTCTCGCACCACGCTTTTCCCAGGACCCTATACGTCTATTAATTCAGGACGGTGTTGACCTGGCGCCTGGTTATGCCCAGCCTAGACAGATAAATCAGCTTTTTCTTTACCCGGCACTCCACTCTGGCCGGGGATACAAAGCAGGGTCAATTATTTGGATTGGGCTAAGCTTAGCAGTAGTGCAATCTTGAACTGAGGGTGAGCTTGTTCTCGGAGATGCCACTGGTTTAAGAGCTGCTTGACTGACCATTAAGATGGCAAAAAGCGCGAATTTTTTCTGCACGTCTTTGCCTTTCAGGTATACCGCCGACCCACTGCATCCTGTTTCCTTTGAAAAGGATCCGTCAGAGAAGCACATGAATCAATGGTAGCGGGAATTTTAGTTATCCATTCACCCATCCCTCCAATTGAAGATATGTGGTAAGATTATTTTGCACTTTGCGAATTTGTTGAATATTCTTACGTAGTTTTGTCGATATTCTATGTGTCAATCCGTTTTGCATTTGTAGGTTACATGGATACAAAATACCAAAATATACATCAGATATACCTCGAATTCTCAAACGTATGATAGTGTCAAATTGGTGTATATACATATCCCTTTGGATTACATTACATTTCACACAAAACTAAGGTTATGATATGAAGATAGATAATTGATTAAACGTTGCGTTTAGGATTGTCGATAGGTATCTAGAACTTGTCAGATTTATAAGGAAAATGTGCGCTTTATGCAGTTCAATATAGTTAATAGCAATGTGGATGGTTCGTAAAATCATTTCTATTAATCTCACATCCACAATGTTTTTGAACAGAGTTTATAAAAATTAAAAGTTAGATTTGGTTTTCAAGATTTCTCTTCTGAATATGCTTGGCAATGTTATGGTCTGTAAGTGACTTCTTGCTCCACAAGAGCAACAATTACATTGTGAATATGCTTGGGTGACCAGTTTATGCTCCACAGGATTAAAAAGAACCTATAAAAATGCGAAAGTAGAGAGTAAAAACCCTACTCAGTTTTACTTCTCCATAAATCGCTTTTTCAATGCCCGAAATGTATTTTTTTGAGATATCAACATATCATAGTGACATGTCGGGTATTAAAAAATCGGCATTGTATTTGCATTTGATGGACAAATCAAGACCAGTGAAATACTTATAAAATTATCGTGATGTGAATGATAAATCTGACAAGCAAGCTTGCGTTTCACATTGATATTACAATGTTAGTGATTAAAAAGCATTGTAAGAAAACTATTTCTTAGACTACATAGTTACATGTATATAATATATAGGTATATTTTTCAGTCATTCATTTTTTTCATAATGAACATTGATATTTTTGTTGTGCCGGACAGGATGAAATTAAATCGTAGACATCTAAAAAGCGTTTTGTATTTTGGAAACCAATGGGTTTGTCCTCTTCAAATTTTAATGATGTTTCCACCTAGTACCTTTAACGAAGAATTAATGAAACCATATATAGTTGATATCATTGTCTCACAAATGGGATTTAATGACATGTGAATGAAATGATTTATAGTATCTCAATTCCGAGGGGCTTAGAGGTCAGAATAATTGATCGGGTGCTAAAGTTTGGCGTATTGGGTTTCATACTTTGTGCAAATTTGATGAAACTGTTCGGTGACCTTTCCCATAACTCATTCACTGCCCCTACTGATTGGTTGATTAGATATTAGTACTTTGAATAGATCCACCAGAAATATATGAGCTATATGATTATAGTTTTCTAATACCACACATTTGAAGCAAAGGGACGCCCAGGGGTAAGCTATCTTCAAGTATCGGTATTTTATTAGTATTCCATACCATATTAAAGGTTGAATACCTCCTTTAGATCTTGATATAAGTAAAGAAAATAGTTCGGATGAGATGGATATAATGCTATGTACATTTTGTGATTTGAGGTCTTATCCGATTTGTTAATTTACTTATTTGCGAATCGCTGCTTCTGCTTCTTCACAAATTCAGTGGCTTGACGATCGCCACTTCTTGATTCTAGGATTTGTAGAATTGGATGATCTGCAACAATAAGAAGATATAGTAAATTATTTATTGTCATCAAAGAGGATTTACTTACTTTTCTTGTGCTGTTGCATCAGGACCAACTCTACAGGTTTCAGTCCATGAAAATTGTCGATACATGCCCCTACGTCTGCTACACCCGGTATCGTTCCAAGTGCCAAAAACGCTTCTCCAGCAAAGTCATTAGCTGTTAGAACATCGTGATCCATTACCTAAAAGTTATGTAATACTTTAGTATGGTTAAATATGTTGAATATTTGTCTTTTTACTTCTCACGCTACTGGGCGAGGAAGTATTGTAATCGCGAAAAATTTCGAAAATGAGATATTAAATTTTTTGTATGTTATATGACATGTACATCACGAAATGCCATGCCACGTATTTCCGTCGTTCTGTCGATTTGTCAGTCTGTCAGTCTCTCCGATAATTTTATAGCCACCTATAACTTGAGAAGTACATCTCGGATTTTGATAAAACTTTTACACAATGTTACTAGTATGCTAGGAACGAAAGTTTTTGAAAATCGGTCTAATGACAGCGGAGAAAAAGATCAAAAACGTTAAAGAATAAAAATCGCACAAACTTCGTTTTGACGTTTCTGAGGCTTCTGATCATTTTCGAAAAAATGGTGTAAGAGTTGAACATCGGTGGTTAAGGGGTTTCAAATGTTGCCTATAGTATTAGTCAAGGGCATTAATCAAAATGCTTCTGATATGGGAACAGAGGGAAGAATAAATGATAAATCTCCGACGGCTGAGCTAATTCTAAAATAACCCAGTCGGCGTTGCGTGTGTGACGCGATACTGCGACACTGGATCATCGTGGAGACCACAGGCGACTGTAGCAAGCGCAATAAATAGGTAACTAAGTCGAACTCCATGTCAGGGACACACCACTACAGGAAAACATTTAGATATTTTAAAAATATTTGGGATGTTGGGAATACGTACCACTTTAGCGTTCTGCGATGCTTTTGTACATGAAGACATGAATTTTTTTTATATCAAGACATATTTTTCTGAATTCTGATATATATGATCCTTAAATGTACCCGCCCGTTTCGCCTAACCTTTAATTTGTGTTAGTCAGTATATTATGGTTCTCTAAAGATTTCGTCAAGTAGATTGACGCAGAACTTATTACGCATTGTTATACAAGAGATACGGAATGACAAACCGACATAAATGAGAAACACGAACTTGCTCTGAATGTCGAGATCGACCAGTGAATGTGGACATTCACCAAGTTGCTCGGCGTATATCCGAATTATTGGTTAAATATCATTATTTCTGACATAAACTGGCGAATGTCAACATTCACCATACGCTTTTGTTGTATGTTGAAAAACATATTTTTATGAAGTAAAAGTAAAAGTGAAACCCATATATATGTATTATTGGGTAGGTATATTTTTTATATACAGAATGTCCGGTAAAAGGAGGTCAATCTGTTAACCACATATTCTTTGGGTGAGAATAATAGGATTCTCATATGGCCATTTTTCATTTTCAGGATTCCGGTTCATAATAATGTTGAGAATTAGTAAAAAAATGTTTTTGTCAATAATTGAGGCATTTCTGAAAATATTCAAATGAAATTTATAACATATATTTCTTTCATTGAACCACGCATTTCGCAAAAATTTGGTTGAAAACGGTGGAAAATGGCAATATAAAGGTCCTATTATTTCCACTCAAAGCGTATGTGGTTAACGGATTGAACTCCTTTTACCGGACACCCTGTTTATGTGAAAAATGTTTTAACAAACATAAGTACATTATTATTGTACTTAAAACAAACAGTTCAAATAACGAAGGGTAACTAAAATAATATCACGATTACAGCCGTACATAAACAGTTTGAGTTTTTCATATGAGATATTAAAAAAAAGGAAATGTATCACGTATTGTTATTTATTTCAAAAACTTAAACTACCGTGACACTTCGAATTGCACAAAATTCCCTTGCCTTTGCAGCTACATTTAGACGTGGAACACTTTCTTTTGCAGTTACAACGTGTAATAGCCCTGTCCTCCACTTTTTGAGTTAGCACGAGCTGCTTCCCTTAGCGATATTTCTTCAGTTGTAATCTCATCCATGGAAAGTAATATTTCTTTATAAATTTGCAAACTGATTACGGGTAAAAAGCTTCTTCCAGGTATCATTTTTGCTTGCTAATTTATAATAGTGATGGGTTTTCTCATTCTTTGTTGTCGAATAAAAAGTTTACCCACAAAAATTGGTTTACCCATTTTATGCGTCCATGTTTTAAATACCTGTGATTCACTAACTTCGGACATTCACAGTAACGCATATATCTTCAAGCAACAGAAGACTTGTGAACTAAAGTTCGAATATCATCGCGAGTTCAGGATCAGGTAGTCGTAGATTTTGAAAATTGATTCAGTGGCGGTGGAACCACATACAAAAAAAAAAATAAAAATTGCTGGAACAAACTGCTACAACGTTTCAGAAATACCTGTTCACTTTCAGACATTGTTTGTAGGATCGAATGTTGTGGCTTGCAAGTTGTATGCGGTAAATTGTTGTAAATTGTTATTACGTTTGGTGTCAGTGGAAGACCTTCTATTATTGAGAAACACCCATAATGAGTCACAGAAATATGTTTATATAGTTTGATATGTAGAGTTCGAAGATTCATCGTACATAAATGAACCTACCTAGTCCCGATTAAACTCTCCTGTCTTTTGGAACGACCTGGCTAATCCCTTTTCTTTGAAACCTCCAACGAAGGCGTAGGAAGTATAGAGTCAATCTACTTGACACCATTTTATACTTTTAATGCACCATGGGCTTACTGATATGTTATTTGAGGGGAAACATTTTGAGACTTTGCTAATTCGGAAGCTGAATTTATAATAGACTAATGTAAATATTACCGTGAAACAAATCATAGCTCCATCAGCCCTACACTGCTCGAGAGTGACACTGAATTCAAAACACTCGTCAAAAATCGGATGAAGGGTCTTCTTGTGTACATTGGTTTGCTGTTCGTTGCAGTGTGGGAATATTCGGTGAGGCAGTAGCTCAATGATCACAAACGGATCACTAAATCCATTCGGATCCAGTGGAATTATATCTCGTGCATGAAGAACCTGGGAAAAATACACGCAACGTTGATTAAACTAAAACAACCTGAATATTATGAATACTTAACAAGTGAGCTTATTAAGCTTTACCTCAACACATAAGGAATCATGATTGAAGTAGGCTCGAACTGCTAGGCTGCCATAAGGCCCAGAAGTTGTGTTAAGTTGTTCTAATAATCTTTGTGCATAGAACATTTCTATCAGCATCTCTGTATCCGTTCTGTGATACTGAAGTCTTTGCTCTATTTGGAAGTATCTGGAAATACACATTAATTCAGAGCAGGTATTCTGTAAAATTGATCGATAGGATCTCACAAGGGTAATTTTTCTGATAAGACTGTCTCGATACAAATCCTCGTTAAGTCAGAATGCGATCTTACAGAAATGTCTTATTTAAAACAGCTCAGGTGCACTGGAATATCCATGAATTTCTGAACAGACACCATATTCATGTTCATTTGGAATCAGATAATCTCATTGAAAACGCACGATCAATATGTGTAATCTGAGCAAAAGTAGCATGATTATAGGAGTTCAGTAAAAATACTTCAATAAAATTCTAGGTCATTACTTGGATGGAAGGTATGGCTGATATTTATGAAAAAATGTAGCAAGTGGGCTAAGCAGAGACGCTTTATAGAACCTACCCTCCCGACTGCATCATTTCCGTTGAAAGACCTTGACCCTCAGCATGAAAAAATTCCACCATCAATTCAAGAGCCGCATGGAGTCTTTCATGGAACATTGCAGGCATTTCTTCACTGCTCGTAGTGCCGTCCATTTGATAATTCAGTTCTGCCAATGTATATTCCCAAACCTTGAAATTATAAAGAACGATAGGAATACAAAGGGGTATAATGCATAAAATATCAATGTCTACGAGAAGAGAGAAACAAAAGCAATCTATTGTCCATATCTCACCTCTAAAAGTACCTTCTGGAAGTTTTGTGGCAACAAGGCTGCATTCAATTGACACAAATGGTGGTGGAGGTAATCGAATAGAGGTTCAACAGCCCTTGGTGTGGGTAGAGTGTCTGGTGACCAAGCCACGTGGAACATAGCTTTTCTCAAGGCTTCTTGCATCTGAGGTCCAACTCGTTTCAATATGTCCATAACTCGCACTTGAAATTGGCTTAAGGTACTGTCTAGTTGAGCTGTTAGTGCAGCGAAATGCTGCTCTGAGGCTATCGTTTCTAGTGTTACAAAGTCGAAGTAGTTTTCTACAAAGGAAAATATACAAGCGCCATTACATTTACATTATATTTTTGGAAAACTAATGAAAGATTTCTGTGTGTTTGTTTCCTAAGATGCATTAATACTCACCAAGTAAGGAAACAAACTTGTAAACATATTCCAAATTATTGGCTGCAATACACATTTCATCGCACAATTTAAAGGGACCAAGCCTATCAAAGTAACCTGTCTCCATCAGCCCTTGATAGGTGATGTCGGCATACAGTAATGCTGCAGAGCAAACGCAATCCAAAAGCTGACCAAGTAGAGGAACCGAATGAGCTTTAGGCCATTGAAGTAGCCTCCAGAAGTCCCTCAGTTGACAGAAGATGGCGACAGTGTCTACTGCTGATGAGGAGTGCTTCACCATACGATCGTCTCCGGTGCAGGGCTTCTGAAGCTCAACTCCAGTGCGTACCTGAAAATCAATAGTATGTATATCCAATTACGTGCTGGGCACCGACGATTCATTTGTCTCTCACAACATGTTCGCTCTTTAGATATACTAACGAGTGTAGAGCAGTCTTTCTCAAAGTAGATGATAACCCCCTTACACCTAAAGGAAATTAGGTGTGCGATGAACTAATTTAATAACTCGTCAACTAACGTGACTGTTCCCACAAAGCAAGTAAAAGTTGTCTGAAGTAACAGATTATTAAGGTGTTGCTAAACGTTACAGTATAACGTTCCATTTCTCCTTTATATTTCTAGCACTCCGATATATAATATTTAATGATTTTAAGAATAAGTGTGAGTACAAAAAGAATATAAAGTGACCTAATTGGAAACAACATTAAAATAGAACACGCATAACAGAAAAATGCATACCACATTTTAGCTACTCAAAATATGTGTTTGCGTTTAATCTGGCAACGCTGAATCGAGTGACAATTCACTGCCTTTATTTAGGACATTTAGGGTTACAAATACGATATACATACAACATAATAAATGTTAATATGAATTTTATGCCCAAAAAGAAGGAGTTCACCACAGGGTGCTGTTCCACTCGCCCTAGCAATTGACAATCGTGGATTGCTGCAATCTACCAGTTGACGTTATTCCTTCAATGATCTTGCCATTTGTGCTCGGTGCTCGCATCTCATTGCTCCAACTCCTTCATACTAAGCATACCCAAAACTATAGAAACATGTTTCGCTCGCTAGAGCCCATGTGTTGGTTCAAGTTTATAAAAAAAAGATATAGAAAAATAGGCCCTTGTAGTACTATGTGTGTTACCCGTACATTATTATTACATAGCTCATAGGAGGTAATAATATCAACATTCGGGTAGTGTTTCCACCTCAAACGTCGTGAAAACTGGTAAAGTGAGGGATGAAGGGCCAAGAAACAAATCGTGTTTCGTCGCTAGGCAAGCAGCACCAAGCCAGTGTTACAATTTCCTATGGTGCTCCATCTGTGTAATCCTACTGGTAACACACATTAGATTTTTTGAAGAAGCTGAAACTAGTTATCCATTATAAATAACTGACGTCATATTCACGTCCAGCAAGCGTTGTATTATTGACGTATTACATATGACGTCATCAGTATGTGATATTACTACGTCATTCAACTCGTAATTTCTCGTCATTTTGTGACCATTTTATCATGTCATTTTCACGTGCTAGTACTACCTGGGGCATTTTTAAATTAAAGTAATTTTGGGGTGTGCTGGAAAACCATTGATTCTAAAATTGGGCATTAGACGAAATAAGTTTGAGAACGTTTGCTCTAGACTGTAGACGCAACGGGTCTGCATCAAGGACGTGTTAGTAAAATTTGTTAAAAATACAAAATATGTGACTATCAAAAGGCTTCTTGGATTATTTAATGGTCAGTTTTTGAGATATCAAGCAAAAATATGAAGTGTCAGTGTCTGAGTATATTCTAGGAGCTAACCAGTCTAAGAACTACCACAAGCTGTGCCGCCTAGCGGCGGGTCATAACCTAATTCTTCTATGGGCATGAAATTTCTATGATAGTGTAAAAAATATTTTCAGATAGTTCTATTGTAGCACATTACATTTCTATTTTATGTGGTATAAAAGTTACTACATGAACTGTAAAAGTGTTGTTTGACTTTTCAGTATTTGAAACAATGATCTATCGATGTGAGAAATGGAAATTGATGCTATGGCACAATACCAATAAACCTCATTAAGTTAAAAACGCACCCACGTCATTCAGAATAAATAAAATGATACTTCAATAGTACTTGTGAGATGATAGCCTATACTAACCCTTTGCAGCGCTTTGCCTTTGCACACACTCAACCAACAGCTAACAGAAGGTTCAAACCATTCATGGCATTTAGGTAGAAGTAACCTATGGTCTCCTCCGACAGGAAGATTATGACTGAACGTTGCTAGGTCTTTAACTTCCAGGTAAACTGAGAAGATAAGTCTATCGTAGGATGGATCTGGGTATTCGTTTTGGTTGAGGAAAGCTATCACTTCATCTGACATCAACTTATCAATTTGTTTGAATACAACACTGAAGTATGGTATTCCATTGGTCCTGTAAATATAAATACAAGAAAATGAGGTGCAAACTATATTTATAAAGTAGCAAAACCCATTTCTTTTCAGTTTTTGAAAATACTCGAGTCCAGTCCTGTGCATTATACAACTCAAAAACCTTTTCAGAATTATTCCTATTGAATTTCGCCTTATCTAATATTCTCTTATCTATGAGTTAATTATTTTTGGGATGATCTATTGCTTAACCTGCCAAATCTGGGCTATTGGACTATTGAATACTAATGATCCATATCAAACATTGCTTTTTAGATAAGTCATTTCGAATATACAACTTTTTATATACTGCAAGCATAAATGGGTTTAGTTGAAGTGTGGATGGAATATGAGTATTCCAGGAAGTTGTATCATGAGTATCTTATAAATGAAGCTCTTTTTACATACTTACCCTTCAAAAAGAGGATGATAGTGGCTAAGAGAATGTTTGAGCTGGACGTAGACCTCAGAGCAAAAGTCTACGAAAGAGGCATCGTATTCTCCTTGCATAGGCATTACGCTAGCTTTCAGTGAGCTAAACCATTCAGGAGTACCTCTACGGAGAGTTGCTACGATGTCGCCTCGAATTTCTTTGTTAAATGGGCAACATTTCCAGAAGGCTTTCTGAAAAATAATTATATGGCTTCTAATAATACCACACAAAATAGACAGCTATTAAAAAAACGAGTGACCTATTATTTTCAATATCAGGTATTCCGCCATTGCTGCTGTTTGATAAAGAAGTTTTTTGTAATTTAACCTTCCAGAATTACAAACTAAGCTGTACAGTTAACAAATATTTACTCTCGCTTCTTCGTCTTGTTCAATTTATTCTTGTTTTAACAATATATAAATAATAGTATTTCTGACCTGTTACAAGAGTGCACCCAGTACAATTGGCTACTGAAGTATTATTTCCAAAGAAAGGAATGTACGCTGATGTTTTTTCATTTTTTCATGTTTCATGGTCTAGATCTATAGCCAGGAGATCCAACATCACTTTCTTAATACTTACCATGTTTGACATGTACGCTAGGCATCTTAAAATATATTCTAAACGTACTAAAGATGGAGGATGTAAAGCAGGGAACAACTGCCTATGATGACGGAGCTGTTGAAGCCACCTTTCTATAAAAAATTAAAAAAATGGTTATGAACGAAACCACAAAATTGTGCGTATTAATTGAGAGGAGAAGTGATGCGTCCACATATTACACGACCTTATCGGGAATCGGAAATGAAGCATTAGTTTGCCTATCTTTAGATAGAATATGTTAATCATTGCTATAAGGTCCTTTCACGATTTTTGACGTGTACATACGAAATAAGTAAACAGACTGCCTAGGTGTATAATTTGCGGAGCTTAATTTCCCTAAGTAAAATTCAACTCGCCGATCTTTAACACAGCTATCATTCGCCCTTGCACCCGCACATGAATTGGGTGATACGAGGACCGTCATTTTCATTCACTTTATGAAAATACTTAACTCAGACTGTCGACATTGTAGTTGAATCTTCAGCTATTGTTTTGTTTTTTAAATTAGCAATAATAAACTAAAGTCGCACGTCCATTGCAAGTAAATTGTCATTTTGACAGTAACTAGCATGAAGGTGGAAGAATTATGCTTTAACAAGACAGTTTTTAATGCGGTGAAACAAAACCAGAATAAGTATGTCTATGAGCATCCGCGCATATAAGCCGATTGCATATAGGTATATGTATGTGTGTCATAGATGTATGTATGCAAGTAATTCCTGTGGTTTTACTATTAATAATAATAATAAGAATAATAATAATAATAATAAACGTATTTATTTCCAAATAGACTGAGTATATAAAGAATAGCCAAATACGGGCGAAGTTCAGCTGTAGCTGCTCTTCCACTTAACCCGCTATAAAAAGTCTGTACAAAAGGTGAGTGAGACCTACTTATTTTACACATTACAATTACTAAATGTATATGCAGTGCTTACATTAATACATCTACTATAAAAGAAACATAAACTTGTATCAATATTTTCCTGAAACATGGTTACTACTGCTGGGATATGAGATATTTTTTTAATTGAGTTTTGAAACTTGATATGCTCACAGTTTTATATTGTACCGGAAGGGTGTTATAAATGGAACAAATTTGGTAGCTGAACGATCGTTCAAATTGGGCTGTTCGGAATTACTCGCCAAAAAGCCCGAAAGACTTTTAAATCGCTGTTCAGGTCTCTTGAGGTACATTGAATTGTTAAGGAATTTCAGCAAAAACGTAAGCCTAATCGACACCTCCACATAACCTTCGGATGTGAAAGATCTGCATAGCCCTTTCGGCTTAACGGTCAACTCAAAATTGTGTTAACACCTACAAATCTTGACGAGGGCATACCATATTCACTTGCCGTTTTAAGAGCATCCTCGTGCCGTGTAATAACCGGAAAATGTTTATGCAGGCGCTTATATAAAGTTATACGTTGCATATTGTTTGAACACTTACATGATCTTGTCTCATAAAGGTAGACCTTACCTTGCATTGCAGTAAACTTCTCGGCCAACCACATTTCTTCCTCCCTGGTAAGTGTATATGTCATCCAGGCGGTTTCTATATCCGTGAGCAGTTGAAGCATCCATCGCGGGTCTAAGGGACGTTTTAGATATACTCTTGAAGCAGCTACGAATCGAGCTAATGCAGCTTGGAGATCACTCAGATCACCTGGAAATAATAGATACAATAGTGAAGGAACATGCAAAATACAATACAACATTTGACTAGTTCTTTATTAGCCCTTTGCATCACCCATAGAGTCTCAATTTTAAGTTTAAAAAATGTCTTTTTTCTCAAAATCCCCTTCAGCGCTTGTTTAAACATTTCTCCCTCATTAGGATTCCTTCTCGGAAATGAAGGTGAGAAAAGCTGCCAAAAGATTCATCTAGCCCCCTATTCAATGGACTCAACGAGCATTCCAGACAGAAAAGTGGGAACAGGCGGAAGCTTGATGGTGCCAAATCAGAATTGCAGTTTTCCTGCCGTTAACATATTTTTATGTATTATAACAAACGGTTTTTATCCCAGCGTTATTAGTTCTAATTCGATAATAGGAGTGGTGATGATTAAAGAAATGAAACAACCGCATCAGGCTATCTTGGAGCTAGATGAGAATACATTTGGTGAAGTTATGAAAGAAGATGTACTTTTTATACACACTTTTTGAACATTATAACCGTCTAAGATGTTCCACTTGTGCTTGTTTTCACCATACTACAAAGAATTGCTCCAAGGATGGCATTTGTTTGAAAAGTGGTGGAAGTGGACTTTAACCCCAGAACTGTGAAATACAAGAAAATGTCCAAATTGTGAAGTATTTAATTCAAAACATAAAACAAACGTCGACATAAACCATTCACTCTTTAATAAAATTTGCAGCACAGTCCAAATGGGACATTAAAAAACACAAGCCAAAGCATATTGCAGTGACAAAGCATAGCAATTACAGGTAAAAGAATATGCAAGCTATATTTACCATATAAGTATTCAAGGACTTCTATCTAAAAAAGGTGTGGTATAACATTACGTGATGTCAGTAAAGCCGGTGACGCTTTTGTTTAAATGAAGGCTATAAAACTGTAAGGGCAAACACAGTTTCCAGGCATACAGGTGGTATATTATTATGTATTTTATGTGAAATACAAACTAGAAACTAAAGTACATGAAATTGTAGCTGTTGAGTACCAATGGTGGTATATCAATGTTGAATTGAATGTTAATCACAATTATAAATTTACTCATTTACTACTGATCTCCAACTGGAAATATAAACAAGTTTATAGATTTTTTCGAAAATATCTGTGAGAAACATTTTTATCGAAACTCTATCGCTGTACATTTGGGTGATTTTAATATAAATTTGGATAATAAAGAAATTTAAACAGATAATCAGTTTTTATCGACTATGGCAAAAAGTCAACGTCACACCAAAGTTACAAATCAATCAAAAACAATTATAGATTTGATAATAACGAACGAACAACATTTAATTGCCAAAGTTATGCATACTCTTAAGATCAATGATCATTCATGTTTTGTAGTTAAAAGTATATTTGGAAGAAATTACTAGTATTAACTATGTAAAATTACGAGCAGCTCTTTTCCTGCAAAATATGACTGAAATGTTAGTTGATGTTGATAGCTACTATATATACAAGCCTATTGGATAATGTTGAAGTTTGCATGAAAGAAGCTACAATCAAGACAACAATTTATAAAAAGAAAAATCCGACACCTTGGTTCTCACGGACGTTCAAGGATTCTAAATTAGAAAGAAACCACAATTATAAAAAATCTATGATAACTGGGAGTGAAAATGATTGGCTAGGATACTAAAGATCAAGACACCCATCTATAGCAGTTCTCCAAGATGAAAAGTAAAAATATTATTGCCAAAGGACCCGGCAACCCGTCTATGGGAAAAGTGGTTTCGGTCAATTTCGCTAAATTTTTGATATGTTATGCGTCTTGGAATCCTGAACAAATGTTTCAATGGCCACTGGCCCCCAACCTCACCGAGTTCCAAGATATAGGCCGTCCAAGTCGGTATAATGGAGTATCGGCCCTACTCGAATAGCTGCTTCAAGTGAAAGAGTGATTTCGGTTAATTTTGCTGAATTATATATATATATATATATGTTGTGTGTCTCGGCTTCCTGAATAAATGCCATAATGGGCAGAAGTCCCAAAACTCAAAGGGTCCCAAGATACTATATAGGCCGTCCAATTCGGTATAATGGGATGTCGGTTTTACTCAGTTAACTGCTCTATCTAGAAGAGCGGTTTCGGTTAATATGACTGAATTTTTGAAATCTCATGTTTCGTGTCATCCTGGACAAATGTCTCAAAGAGGCCATACAATTGGAACCACATCTCTCTTCCATTGGGGTTGAAGGAATTAGACTCAATGAAGTTTAGTAGCAGATAGGTTGACGAACCTGTCTATCCGCTAACCAGCTACGACTAAACAAGAGCGATGTCACTGACAGCTACTTGTGTATTTTTCTATATAAGGGAGACTGCTACATGCGCAGCCGCACATTGACCGAACACGTAGTTGTGAGAGGACATTTTTAGGTTATTCTACAAACAGTCCATTACTGAATACTGCGCAACCATTTTCTGTTTAATTTTTTGAGTTCTTTAGTCGCTCGTCTTTCGTTTTCGTTTTCCATTTTCCGTATTCGTTTGATTGTTCGTACTGTTTTAATTTCGTTATGTTTATCATTGCGTGTAGAGTTTTAATTTTGAGCTGTGTAGTTTGTATTTTATACTTTCGCAACGAGCATGCCGCAGCGCATGACATGCCATGTGTGTAATGAAGTTTTCGCTATTCGAACCATGCGACTTCTGAGAAACTCCGGCAACCCAAAAGTGGAGATTGCAGTAAGGTACAGTGAGGAGCTAAACCACTCTGCTTTTGTGATAAACGATACATCACGTGTTTGTTTTAACTGTGATTTATCCCGAAAGACTTAGGTTGAATGTCCTAAGACAAAAATCCTCTGAAACATGTATCATATGTAATCACCTGCGCATACATTTACACCGGCTTAGTATTGAGGCTCAAGTTCAAATATATTTGGAGAGTATCATTTACATCCCTCAAGCATCTCGGATCTGTTCACAGCACCTCGATGAAAAAGGAATTCTTTCAAGGAACTTTTATGCTAGTTACGCCATTTAAATCGACCTATTGTTTTGCCTGAAATAGAAATCAGTAGGTTTTCTACACAATTAAAAAAATCGGCGCTAAAAAATCATTCACAATCTCTTGATCCTGATTATTTGACTGATGAAAATTTTACTTATCTTAATTCGATGTCGAAAGCTCAACTCAATAATTTACATGAGTCTTGCGTTCCTGTCGTGGGAGGTAATAACTTTCGTGAGGTGACCACAAAATCTCTGTTTATATTTTTATCTAAAATGCGCCATGGACTTACTGATAATTTTATTCAACTATGGCAGTAGACAGGGCATTAGTATTTTGACTGGTGCAGTGAGGAGATCTATGATGATGCGTTTTGTAGCGGAAACTATTGGTCTTGAGCAATAACTCGTGAACAGTTCATCGTAGAGCATGCGACACCGTTTGCAAATGAATTGTATAATGAAAACCCAAATAGTTTAAAGGCCATTTCAGTAGTTGATGGAATTTATATTTATATTGAAAAATCAGGAAACTATCCTACTTTGAGACAAAGTTACTCGGTTCATAAAGGACGTCATTTAGTAAAACCGATTATGCCGACTGCATCTGACGGATACATTTTAGATATTCACGGCTCGTATTTCTCAGATGCAAAAATAATGATGCCTCTATATTAATCAATCAGTTTGAAAATGATACAATCAATATAAATCAATGGTTTCAAGATGGGGAGATTTTTATTGTTGATCAAGGATATCGAGATGCACTACATTTTTTGGAAAATAAACGATACAATGTCCAAATGCGAAATGCCTCCAGTAATGCAGGTAACCATCAACTCACTACTGAAATGGCCAATGGACCCGCATGATTAGTTGAAGCACGAAATGGCCACGTCAAATCCATTTAAGTATAAGTTTCTCGACAACCTCATTCCGAGGGATCATGTCCTACATTTGCGAGATTTCTACTTAATCGCGGGTGGATTAATAAATATATATCGAGTACCTCTACAAATGGTGGATAAAAACAAAAAAAAAATGCAAGCAATGATTATCGTGACTACTGGTCTACCCCCTATAATGACTTCCTTTCTTGGCATTCGTTGGGTTTTTGGCTTTGTCTCCATCGATACATTTATTCAGGACGCCAAGACTCGCGGCATATTACAGATCCAGTCAAATTAACCGGGACTACTTACCCAAGTAGAGCAGATGTCTGAGTGGAACAGATATCTAGTTATACTGACTTGGGCAGCCTCTATCTTGGGACTTGTTGAGTTTTTGGGGGTGTTCGTATTGAGACGAATATTCAGGATATCAAGATACATAGCATTTCACAAAAATTCAGCGAAATTAACCAAAACCACTTTTCCCATAGGCGTGTTGCCAGTAAAAATAATAGCAAACGGATGTGCAAAACGTTGAAAAACATTGTTTGAAATTCGACGATGGAATAATGACAAATGAAGAAATAATAGCAGATTGAATGAATACCTATTTCATAGAAAGTGTCAACGACATTTTAAGATCAATTATTGACGGGGTTACGAACCAATGTCTAATTAGCTCAGATTATAATGCATCATTCAGTGAGTCTAGAACAATAAACATTAAAACATTAATCGTCGCTACAAATGGTGGATAAAAACAAAAAAAAATGCAAGCAATGATTATCGTGACTACTGGTCTACCCCCTATAATGACTTCCTTTCTTGGCATTCATTGAGTTTTTGGCTTTGTCTCCATCGATACATTTATTCAGGACGCCAAGACTCGCGGCATATTATAGATCCAGTCAAATTAACCGGGACTACTTACCCAAGTAGAGCAGATGTCTGAGTGGAACAGATATCTAGTTATACTGACTTGGGCAGCCTCTATCTTGGGACTTGTTGAGTTTTTGGGGGTGTTCGTATTGAGACGAATATTCAGGATATCAAGATACATAGCATTTCACAAAAATTCAGCGAAATTAACCAAAACCACTTTTCCCATAGGCGTGTTGCCAGTAA